TTTGAAATAGCGTGCCATACCTCTTCTCTCGATCTGCTCTTGAAGAAGTCTCTTTCAAACACTCCTTTCTGGCTGAAGATGGTAGGATATAGTAATGAATAAGCATTGCCGTCTTCCCCATAATTAGCTCTATCACTGATGCGACGAATTCGGGGGACAGGAATATCAGACCGAATGGTTGGAACACCGTAGATGGGATAACCTTTGTCATCAATGAGGAAAGAAAACAACTCTTCTAAAACAGAAGTGTACAATGCAATTCCCCACCAGCCACGGGTAGCTACTGAGTACTACAGGAGTGACTCATCTGAATCGCAATGGACTGTACATGAAAAGTGCACAGTGGATCTTGAAGACTTCAAACAAATAAAAAGAAGGTAAAGCATCTATCTCTAACAGTTTTATATTGTGTACATACTGAAATGATAGTTTACATATACTGCAATAAATAGATGTTACTAAAATGACGTGTTTCTATAATTTCCTTGAATGACTACTAGAAATCTTAAAAATACTTATGACCTCCACCACATTTCTATTGGGCAACACTGGTCCTAAGAGAGAGCAACAAGCCCTCACTACATCCAAATGTGTAGCATGTCTATTAAAATCTATGTAAATATATAAAACTTCGATTTTGTCTTTAGTCCTAGGAATTGTTTATTAGTTGCTTAGTGGGAATACAGCCAAGCCTACTCCCAATGCACAATTTATAGGCACAGCGATCACATTTTTCACACATCAACATTCTCGCTGTTTCTGCTCTAATTGCTTGACTTCCGTTTACTTAATCCCCAAGCTCCCCAACTAACCCCACTAACCTTCTCATGGATGCTTTAAAACAGCTTTTGATCCTTTGGTCTTAGATAGGTTTTTTTGTTTGGGGAATTGTTTTGTTTTTTTAATAGCCCAGTGCTCAAAGGTGACCGTCTCTACTCTTGGGCTGAACTGTTACTTTAAGGTGGGCTCTCTATCAACAGCAGCAACAAGGTCTTACTAAATCACCAAGATCCACCATGCTTGATATGGAGATAAGGGAAAGAAAGATGTAAAGAATGGTTTGGGACTGGATCTTCAAATACATATAAGCAACTGTGTGTGGAGATAAGACTCATGGGATTAAAACAGCCCCCCACACTCGGTAAAGTCTGAATGACTGTAGTATGTCATCCAATTTTCTGATCTACGGATGGTTTCTGTTTTCTTAGTATTTCGAGAATTCATTTTTTTGGGGTCTTCATTAAGAGTCCCTCAGTTTAGCTACTGTCTTTTGAGATCCTCTAAGTTCTTGGAACATGGAAATGAATCCCAGGTTAGAACTTTGGGAACTTCATCTAATGGGGATAGGATTTAGGGAGAATGCAGGGTCAGGAAAAGGGCATTCTGTTTCTCTTGACTGATCCCTTTAGAACGTCAAAAGCAAGGGGGCATACTCACATGTAGAGGGAGCAGCTCCCACGACTGCATTGATCTCGGAAGAAGACAGCTTATAATCATTAGAAACCCTATCACTTGGTCTCTGAAGTGTTCGAAATGTCTTTTCTGAGCTCCCTGGTTCTTTGCATACAATGTCTTCAGGCTTTATCAAGAGAGTTGGTTCAGATTCTGGAACATTCGCCTCAGTAAGGTTTGTACAATCTTGTTTTCTGCCTTTAAGCCAGTAGGTAGGGGAAAAGAAAAAAGGAAATAACCATTTGATACTTGCTGCTTTATGACAAGATCCGTTTTCTTATTGCATCTCTTCTTGTCCCTAAATTCTATCCCCATTAGACTTGTTGGGGAAAGGAGCCCTCTTGGTGAAGTGGATATATGTTGGGCTGATAACCACAAGGTCAGTGGTTCAAAACCAACAGCCGATCCCTGTGAGAAAGGTGAGGCTGTATTTTCATAAAGAGTTATAATTTCAGGAACTCACAGGGGCATTTCTACCCTGTCCTTTAAGGGTCACTGTGAGTCAGCAGTGAGTCGATGGCAGTGAGTTTGGGGGTTTTTTGCTAGTGGAAAACAAGTTGTTGATGCCAGTGCTTCTCTGTAGAAGAGCAAGTTCAATGAAATACTAGGAAATATGAACATGACCCAATGTGTGCTGCCATTCTACTTCCCTGACTCCAGGATGAAAGCCAAATGTAAAATGTAGCATCTAAGGGGGGACATTTTCCTTCCTTCCTTCTTTCTTTAATTTTAAGTAGACTGGTGAGCTATAGGCAACTTGGAGTTGTTCCTGGGTTGGTGCCCCTGGGGAAA